AACAGCAAAATTGAATCAAATTAAACCAGTTCTACAATATTTTTCGTACACTTACAAACGCTATGACTTTTTCTCCTTTACAATGAACATCTACCATTTTCCTTTTTTTCTCTTTTTTTTGCGTATCTTTTTGTCCTTTTTATATTATATTTCTTCATTTCCGTTTTATTTCCAGTCTAATTAAATTAAGTAAGTAAAAAATAAATGAATAAATAAACAAATTTGTCCCGCCTTGACTAGCACTTGCTATCCGTGGGTCAAAGGAATATCTTGTGAAAAGTGTAATAAAAGTGTAAGTACATGCATGCTAAGGCCCATATTAAAAGCATCTTTACCTGCTCATTCCAGCCATAACCCCACCAGCTTTAATATCTGCACCACCTGTGTCATAAGTCACACCCTAAAATACAGAGAAATGGGTGTAAATAGTTAACAATTATTGTCACATCCTAACATATAATGACATACATCAGGACACAGATAAAAAAAAAGTTTGGAAAAGAATGAGCAAGAAGTGGAGTATCATGCAAGACTAGTGCTAATGGACCGGGTCCATCTACTATGACCAAAGGCAAAGTCAAATATTTCAAAGGGGCAGCACAAAGGAGTTTAGCCAAGATGCAATTGAGCATGGAAAACCTTGGAAAATGGCTAAACGACTGATAAGCACAAGTTTCTCTCTGGTACCAACCTTTCCAACCAGAAGGACAGTGTTTTGGATATCACCTTCTCCCACGTACTCCAAGTTGATGATTCGACCAGTGTGTCTCTCAACAACTAAAATTGGTAAGCACACTGGTGTTTCAACAGAAAACATTTGACAAAAAGTTTTTTTAAACTATGGAGAATCTCTCTTCTTTGTTGTTTTTTTTTACATCTATTGAATAGTTAACTTTTTAATTGATTCATTCATTGTTAGATCTTGCCAGCTTAAAAGGAACATGTTTGCAGAAGTTCATTACCCTATATCCATTTATTTAATAAAATGTAATTATATTAATCTGGTGAAACCATGACAAAGAAAACAATTACTGCCATTGTTGTCATTATTTAGCAATAAATACAAAAAAATAACATGAATGAGGTAGAAACATGACGGAAAAACTTTTTCCATACCAAATTTTTCTGATGACATTGAACAGACCAACAGCAACATGGAATCTGTATCTTAAACAGAATGACAAATTACTTACCTTTTGCACACCTATTGACGGCTGCATACAGTGGATAGTTCTTCTCAAACTCAGCTGGATCCTTAACAACTGTTACCTGAATTAAATCAGGAAGCATAAGATCGCAAAGGAATCTATGCAGAGGAACTACAAGTAAAGCTAAAGGTTTTGCAAGTTGGTGCCCAAGTTGTGCCCTTGAAGTTTCTGAATACGTT